TTTATATACTTTACTGAAACAAATCCTCAAAAAATACTTAACAAAGAAAATGTACTTAGTTACTATACACCTCTGTTGGTATGATAGTAGCTAAACAATATCCCTAACACATACACTGTGCAATATGTTGCTAAAAACTTTGCTTTTAACAGCTGACGTCAACCTTGTCTGTCTGTTAACAAAACATTTTATGAACCACAGAACAAAGTTTATTAAATTCTCACAACAACTATTTAACTTCTGGAGGCATCTCATTTCAAGATGGCCACCACATCTAATCAACATCAGCCAACACAAAAATGACAGCAGCTCAGTCAGTTTTATGGATGTTAAGATTATATTTAGTGTGGTATCTGACTGAAAGTCATCTTCAAAAAATCCTGTGAGATCTCACAATACTGCATGAGACATACATCTACAAGATTTGGTTACATTGAGTAGGCCTACAACACTGTCACTTTTCATCAAAACATAATCACAGTTTAATTTTCTGTCAAGAAAGGCAACAGGAAATTTGAAATTACTCTAAGAAATTCTAGACCTTAAATTATTCTTGTTTTTATTCAATATTATGTTTTGAGGCTAATGTCCTTCACTCATTTTCGTAAACTCAATTTTGATAAAAAAATAAAAATGAATTAAAAAACAGCCATGACCTTTAAATAGGTCTATATCAAACTGCAAAAAGAGTTCATTTGCATATTTCACAGTTAACACCAAAACCTTAAGTGACTCAAGCTTAAATATTTGGGTTTGATATAATTTAGCTCAACCAAAGCCCACTTGAACCATCTGAAGCAGAGAAAAAAAAGCAGCCTGTCATTGTGGTAACTTCCCTCTGAGATGGAAAATGACAATGTTCAGATGCATAAACAAGGGCTCTTCAGTTGGATGTTCATATTTATACAGAGAGAAAATTATGACCTTTCTTTCTTTTTSGTCTCATCATGTTTTCCAGGCTGCCACTTCTCCTTTTTTCAACTGCCACCATTTTTTATAATCTTTCAAACACATGTAATTAAAACGTTTTGTTTGGAAGGGGAAAAAAACTTTTCACCAAAAAGAAAAAAAAGTGGGTAAGAGACGGATGGATGGATGGATGGATGGATGGATGGATGGATGGATGGATGGATGGATGGATGGATGGATGGATGGATGGATGGATGGATGGATGGATGAACAGCTGTGAAATTATATGGACTGAGGTTGTTTTATGATGACATTAATCATGTCAGTGGAAACTCGGGGTGCTGAGGGTGTTACAGCACCACTTTGTTAATGACAAGATTTGATACACATCAAAATAAATCAAGAAAATTGATTTTATTCATGAGTAAACTAATAAAATCATAGATCTATTGTCATGTTTATTTTCCAAGTACATTTTTGTGATGACTTATTATCTTGGATTTTTTTAACATGCAGTTATTTTCCTGTTCATTTTTTAGAGTTTCTTGTTTGCTACCAAACTATATTCATAACTAAATTATATAGTAAAATAGTCAGCTCAGTGGGAAACAGTTTTCTGACAGTTGTTTTTGTCAAAAGAGGAAACTTTATGTGAAAAAAATCCATAGAAAAACATAGAAATATTTTCTTAATTAATTTTGACACATTGTTCCAATCTGTCTCAATGTACTCGTTTTATTTTTATTACCTTGTGGTAATCTTAGCTTTAGCTACCATTCTATACTTTTATATTTGATTTATGGTTTTGCTTCTTATAGTTACAAAGTCAACATTTGGGTTATTTAGTTTTGCAGCTGGCATTCATTTTTAAGCTCTTGCTCATTTTTTTAGGATATTTGCTTGTAACCTTTAGCTTGAGTTCTGCTCATTTTGGCTGTTGTTTTGTCTGCTTTAGCCTTCAATCTGCTTGCTTTGTGTTTACCAACTCCTTTTAAGCTTCTTCAGCAAAATTCAACAAAATCACCACTCAGCGTTCACACTGCATTTTTTGCAGACATGCAGTTTCTCTAGTTTTATTTATTTATTTTGTTTCTCCACAGCTAGAATGCAGCCTGCTGTAACAAGGTAAGACTGGTGAGTTTTTCTTCACCAAAGTTATCGGTGAACAATCAGCCTTCTATGTTGATGTCAGCAGAGAGAATTAGTGAGTGCCTCTGCAATCCTAGTGTTCAGCGGCTGCAGTCTGTTTTTAATTAGAGTGTTAATGTTTTACTGCGTGACAACAGCTGCAGATAACATCCACATTAATGTGTTCATATTTCATTGCACTGTGGACAAAGAAAAGTGTTGTGTTGGTTTCATGTCGACTCATCTTGAAATATTCTTAAGAATGTTTTATGCAATAATAAGTTCTAAAATGAATATTAGATGAGCCAAAGCTAAAGCCAAAGTGTTTGCCTAACAATTTGATTGTTTTTCAGAATTATATYTTCTTACCAAAGAAAAGCTGTAAACTGGTTTCAAAGACAAGTTTACTTTTAATTTTGACTTGATTAAACCGATTTCCATTACAACATCAAACATTTAGTTTCAAATTTAAATGTTTTTGAAAGAAAAAGCATAACAATTACCTGGATGCCCATTTTTTTTTAAATGTACTAAAATGGTTTTGTAAATTCAGCTAAATTGTCCTCCTGTTCTTGGTTCAAAACACGTTTTTCTTTTTTACTTTGTGCTCTATCAAGCTTCCTTAATGTCTTTTTTCTAATCATGTATTTTTAAAGTATAATATCACACTGTTCCGTGGGAGTTCCGCGGGGTAGAATACTGGGCCCATTGCTTTTCCTATTATACATAAATGACCTTCCAAAATTATTGAAGTATTCAAATATTTTAATGTATGCTGACGATACTGTTCTTTTTTGTCTGATTTCAATATTGAATCTATTAATAGTCAGTTATAAGCAGATCTTCAGACATTTCATGGTTGGCTTCAAAATAATCTTTTGTCAATTAATGTTAAAAAACTGTGTGCATGTATTTTTC